GGGGTGTTAATATATAAAGTATGTGCCGTGGTAATAAACTATAAAACACGCTTGGGTGTTGTTACTAACTGAGGTCACCAGCTCAGTGTGAAGCTCGGAGAATGGCGGCAGTGTGTTGCCCATCATCAAAACGAGCCTCCCAAAATAAAACAGGTTCTAGTATTCTGTCCTTCGTATTAATTTTCCCTGTGCAGGAGATTTGCTATGTACATTTCTTCTGGCCCCACATCAAAAGAGCATCATAGAGGACGTTTGAGTGGGTCCAAGTGAGCTACTCAAAGGACAGAAGACATGTGAATAGGGTGTTTCAGCCTGGAAAGGAGAGGCTTTGAATCAGTGTAGCTGAAATCAGATAATGGCCGGTACGAAGGGAGGACCTCTTCAGATCTTGAGCAGAGTAACTTTTTCAATTAGTAGGAAGTTTCATCTGATCCTGCAAGTAATAAACTCAGAGAATTTATTACTTCAATTGATGGATATAATATGGGCCAAAAATATATAGATTCAAAAAGGGCTGGAATGAATTTATTAATGATAAAACCTCTAAAGAACTAAAAGAGAAGATGGAATTGGGCCTGTCATATTTGGTGTGATAGATGATGACCATTCTGTTACAGCTCAGGGAAGGCAGGGCTTATGATTAGACCTTTGGGGCTTGGTTTTTTCTCTTGGCTCACGAGATACTTGGGATACTTTTATTCTTCAGAATATTGGGGGGGCTCATTTCTTTAAATGTGACAGTCCGGTATACTTAGAGGTGCTAATTGCTGTTGATTGTTACTCTGTTACACAGGGTGGGGCAAGAGTAGGTTTACAATTTGTATGGAAAATAATACAGTAATAAATAATAATACAGGAATAAACTATAAACCTACTTTTGCCCACCCTGTATGTAAATCTTTATTTCAGTCAACACTGAAAAAGAAAGTACACTTCTACTAGTGTCTTTTTTTTAACACCCCTTTTGAGACTTCTCTTTTTACTTCCTCCCCCTCTTCCTAAGAAATGGAACTGTTTCTGGCTTACACTTTCAGATGCCCTTGCTTTTAAATGATAGTAAAATACTGCATTCTGGGTGTAATACCAAAGATTGTATTGGGACTAT